GGATGTTGGTGCAGAGTGATGCCCCTAAGAGTTGGGCAAAGAGATGTTTAAGGGCCGTACAGCTCTTAGCAACCTGGAACGCTTTGGCCAGTGTCTCGCAGAGCTCCTGGAAACCAATGACATCACTGAGATGTGTTCAGCCCCTACACATCTCCCCATCCAGCTCTTAGCAACCTGGGACCCTCTAGCCAGAAAGGGGACAGCAGGCACACTGCAAACATTGTGCAGCAGAGGGGCCACGCTGCTGTGCCTGCCGCCCCCCATGCAACCCAAAGAGATGCCGCCTGACGCAACAGCCTCAGGCTGCTTCATTATAGGGATGGCCCTGCAGTGTAGCAGTGTTGTCTAAAAGCATGCGTAGCAAGCACTATCTGCATTTCTTTTCCGCAGACCAACACTTTATCTGGAAAGTTCTCGGTATGTTAACTGACAGTAGACTCATTTGAGAGATGAGACGGATAACAGCCATACCGCCCATGCGGTAATGTAGAGCTGCAGGGAAAAGCTCCAAGCTCAGTTACGACTGTAGCCAGGCCATTAGCCACAAACCTATTCCTTTAAAGTCAGGTTTGCATGGCAGGGCCTGCAAGCCAAAACAAGGATTTAGAAAGAGTTTCCAAATGATTGTTGGTGGTATCCTTAAGCACTAGTGCTTCTCCAACACATGCACTCAGTGTTTATTAAGGTGAGATATTGCCAGATCCACAATTGTTACAGAATACTTTGTAATAAAATCTCCATCAAGCAGATATTGATCAGCAAAATGTTTGGGAGGAGAAGGATTTTCACAGTCAGCGTAGAGAACAGGCTAAAGTAATGAGTGAACTGAGAGGGTCCAGACTGGTAACAGCACTAGTTAAAGTCACTGGCTATTCCATTTTAAGTAAGAACTCCAGGCAAAAATGTTATTAACCCCTGCAATGGGCAAGGTCGGATATACTCTCCCTGCCGCCCCAAGGCCAGGTTCTGCGATGCGCCCCCCACCCCGCCAACCTACCCCCTTCCCATCAATGGAGAAAGGCAACCAGATGGCAGGGAGGCGGGGGTAGTGTACATTTTTTTTACTGTTTCTTTTTTTTTTTTACTTTTTTATCACTTTTTATTTTTTTATTTAATAATTTCTTCTTATTTTGTTAATTTTTATTATCATCGCCGAGTTCACATGTAAACAGAAAAATCGGCTGCCTCACTCTACATTTAGTCCTGCTTGTACAAGGCAGGACTGAATGTAGAGGGCAACTTCCCCATAAGGACACCGCTGCCGCCCCTCTGCGCTGTGCCGCCCCGAGGCCAGGCCTCGATGGTCTTGTTGGGAATCCGGGCCTGGCAGTGGGGCTACACCCGCACTGCAAGGTTTGCAAGGAAGGTGCTTAAAAAAAAGTCATACTCTTAGACTAATCCCTAGAGCCTCTCTTCCCCTCCTCTGCAACGGTCTGAGAATCCTTGCCTCAGCACGTTCTATACAAGTGTATAGAAGAGAGGATGCTGAGGAACATTCAATCTGTGCAGTGGAGGAGGAGACGCGATTCAGTGGCCGGAGAGTCAGGGAGACGGCTCGGCAGTTCGGGTGAGTATAAATTTTTTTTTAGCACCGACACAACAATGAGTAGTTAAGTGGGTAGCCCTACTACAAGAGTTAATAAAAAAGTTTCCCCCGAAGTTCTTCTTTTAATGGGACTCGCACAGCATAAATTGGATGCTCCTCAGGAACAAAGTCACCGAAGGTAGTGCCACAGCTCTGTACCTGGAAAATGCTCTGTGGCTAACTAACACAGTACCCAAAATACTTGATAGTGCCACTGACAAAGGCCAAGGGCACATTCCGGGGTAGCCAAGGATTAGCTGATCCAGATAGCTTTATAGTGAGCACATAGATGATGTCTTGATTGAAGAAAAATGATCTTGGGAAAGTAAAAAGGCTAGTAAAAAACCGAAACAGGTCCCCCCCATTCCCCCTCATCATCCTAGGACATTAGCATAAAACTGGAGCATGCTGGAAGTAGGAGGGATTATACCTGACTGGCCAACAATTATTTGTTTGCCAGTGTCCAATTCCTCCAGAAGGCTGTATAGCCAACCATATCAGAATAACTCCTGATCCTGTTTCCCTTTCCCCCTGGATATTGGTAAAAAAATAAATCAATAAATCAAATAAAACAAGGCAACTGGACTTGCTGTATCTTTCTTGAAGACGTTTTGCTGGTCATTCGACTACCTTTCTCATTTCAGAATGACTTGTACAAAAATTATCTGGGAATAAATAATATGAATGTTGCTCCAATCAACATAATCTGTTAAACATAACCAGCATGGAGTTAGAGACCTCATGCACTCAACACCTTACCTCCATGAGGTCTGTGACCCCATGCTGGTTGTGTTTACCAGATTATGTTGATTGGACAAACATTGACCTATTTATTCCCAGAGAATTTTTGTACAAGTTATTCTGAAATGAGAAAGCTAGTCGGATGACCAGCGAAACATCTTCAAGAAAAATACAGCAAGTCCAGTTGCCTTGATTTATTTTTTACAGATATACCATGACCAGGATGAATGAGAACCTTCACAGACAATTTCCCCCTGGAGCACATTCTTGAGTAATTTCAAGCACCTAGCTTTCCTGGGAGGCAGCCATATTTGCGCCTTTTTAAAAATTATTATTTTAGGTACACTATTAAAATACATTTAGAAAATACTTTAATTACTGAAAGAATCATTGAAAGACTCACCCTCCACTACCCTGCATTTTTATAACATAACGGGTTTTACTACTATACAGGTGTTCTTTCAGTTCTCCCAAAAAATAGGCTTGTTGTTGGCTCTGAGCACCCATCTCTTTACACTACTGCCTGACAAAGAATTAAAAAATGATAAAAAGATAACATGATGATAAAAAAAGGTATGTAAGGGTACAAGTAACTGAACTACTAACCTTCCAGCGATGGCCACACTCATTGCAAAGTACAAACGTTGTCATTGGTTCATCTGCACTGCGTGTCTGCACCTAGGAGACGAGGTATTGACAAGTTACTACGAATGACACTGCCCTATCCCACCAGATATTGTTCTTGTCAATTTTTACAATGTTGAAAGCGTATAAAAATGTTTTCTATCAAATCTTTTTACATCTGGACTAAAGTTATAAGCAGTATGTGACAGCAATTATAATTTGTTAAATACATTCTTTAGAATGCAACAAGATCATCACAGGTGATACATAATACCATAATGGTACATAGATTGCCATGGCAGATTTCAGGATGCATACATGGTGAAATCAACAAACAATACATTGAAAAGTCTTAAAACAACTGATATAAAGAGCGTCAAACAGTCCAGGCATGCCTGGATGGGTGGTAAGATGATTTCACCTGAGACACTTGTGTTCACCGCATTTTTTTTTTCTCACAGAACAAAACAGGTGTTGGTTTATGACCATGGAGAAGAGGAATAGGAATAGGAAATTAATCTGGAAAGCGGGTGAACTAGGAAGAGAGGAGAGGAAGAGAAGGGAAAACAAGGAAAAAAAAGGGAGGGGGTGGTAAGAAGGGTTCTCAGGAAAGGAGGGCTGGAAGGGGGGCTAGATGGGGGGGCAGGGTTGAGGAGGGATAGGAGTGCAGGGAGGCTGTATCCCTCCAGTGAAAGGGATAATAGACTCTGGGTGTTGCCTGTTTAGTGTAGGGTGATATTTAGTGTGGCCTCTTGTTGGATTGTATAGTAATATAACTTGAGGACCAGCAGGCCAATATCTTCCTTGTTCTTTGGTCATCGTAGAGTCAGATATATAACTCTCACCAGTTTATTTGCCCAGATACATTCTGTGATTTATCCATCCTCAAATAATGAGTTATATGTATGGGGATGGCTTGTAGCAGGTACCGGACCTGCAAGACTATGATCTTTAGAATATTGCACCTGCCCAGCCATGAGTAGTTACCGTTGGTATATTTATGTAGGTCTTGTTTAATGCTGCGCACTGTGGGGGGAGGGGGGAGAATTAGCTATGTATATTTCCATAAATTCAGATCCCTCCCAGGTATTCAATGGTGTTGGGTGCCTATTTGAATGGGAAATTACCTAGAAATATACAACTCTGTTTCTCTGTTGGCTGAGATTTAGCGCTTTGAATTTTAGATACTTAATGAGATAATTGGAGAGAGTTCTATACGCTTTCCTTTCCACTAGGTGATTTGGAATGGAGATATGTGGATTACTGAAGACAAACAGGAGGTCATCTGCATAGGCAGTAACCTTTTGCTGATGGGTTCCCATGTGTAGGGCTACAATGTCTGGACGGGATCTGAATTTACGGAAGAAAGGCTTTAGGGTAAGAATGAAGAAGAGGGTGGGAAGTCTTGCCTATATGCATCGGTAATGGGTCTAACGAGGTTCCGTTAACCTTTAAACATGTTAAAGGAGTTGATACTGTATATAGTGTTTATCCAAAATCACTTAAAGAGCCTTTGTTATGAAGGTCCATTCAACCCTGTGAAATGCCTTTTCATTATCTGTTGACAGAAGGATGAAGGAACAAATCTTGATTTGGCTACGTGTATATATTAATCACTCATGTTGCCCACATGGTCATTATGGATGATAGGTAGGAGGTGGGGGATAAGTCTTTGCTCAATGATATTAGTAAATAACTTCAAATCTACATTTAGTAATGGAAATGGTCTGTAACTCAAGCAAGTCAGTGCATCCTTCCCTTCTTTATGGAAGGACTGTGATATGGGCCTTATTGGCTTCATGTACACAGGTATGGTCTTCCCTAATGAAGCTGATTGCCCTGAGATAGTTGGGGGTTAGTTGAGGGGAAAGAAGTTTGTAGTATTGTAAGGTATAACCATCTGGTCCCGGTGTTTTGCTTGTTTGAGAGCATTTGTTAGTGTAAAGGTGCCCATACACCTTATATATATATCGTCCGATTTTCGTATGCGATCGCGTTTTCGTCCGATATTCGTTAAGGTTGATGGGCAGTGTACAACCGCAAATACTGTACAATCGATCGACTTTTGACTAACCAGCAGGTTAGAAAACTTCGGTCGAACGTACGATTTTCGCAAGGTGGGTGGCGTTTCCGTACGTCACAATTCGTACAATTTACACTGCAAATGCGCAGACGAAAATACGTGAGGTCGATTACCGCAATTCATCCAGGTGCTTTCTTCTCATTACTGCTGATCCAACCTCGCCGTAATCGGGGCAGGATGGGGCGACCGTACAAAAATCGTACGACGGTTCGGTCATCGGACGAAAAATGTCGTCCGATGATCTCAAGGTGTATGGGCAGCCTTAAACTATTCTCCCTCTTTAGGGAACTCCAGACTGTTGGCAGTGGAAGCAGTCAGGGTAGGAAGCTGTAGGTCCCTGATATACTTTTTTATTCTGCTTTTGAGGGACAGAGTGACTGGTATCACTGTTTGTGATGAGGTCTTAAAGTGTGTGGTAGAAGACTCTGAAAGTGGATGCTCTCTTGTGTGGAAGAGTGGTTTCGTGGCATTCGATGAACTGTACATTTGACCAGTTTGCTGTCTGAGGGCATTAACTAGGGTTCTACTACAATTATTTCTGTATTTATAAAAATCCCTGTGACATTTCACTATGAAGGCCCTTGCAAGACACCGAGTTTTTAGTTGGGACCTAAGCTGAGTTAACTTAGCCTCAACTTCTGGAGTTTGTCTCTTTTTCTGGGTTGTTTCTGCTCAATTAATCTGTTCCGGTAGTATGTAGGAGTTATGAGTCTCCCAGACCGATAAAGGGGAATGTTAGTTTTAAAAAAAGGAGTAGTTCCTTATAAATATAATTTATTATAGAGGGCTCATAAAGGAGGTGCTCCTTCAAATGCCATTCCGAGGGATGACACAGGGCTTCTGGAAGGCTGAAGAACACTGATATAGGTGTATAATCAGATAGTTTGATGTGGATTATAGTGGATGATTGGAAAGGATGAAGGTACTGGAGGCATGGGAAGAAATAGTCAATTGTGTATAAAATATATGGTTGGGAAAACTAAAAAACTGTTAGTGTGCAGGCAGATCTCATTATCATCAGTTGTGAATTAGAAATGAACACTGTCTGTCCTAAAAAGGGTTAAAGGTCTCAGGGCTCGCTTCTGCATTGTATGTTAATGAGAGCAAACTGAGCCTGTGCCCACTGTGTCCCTCTCCACTTTTACTTTCACATTTTGCAGAGTAGCTTGCAGTCTGCCCTAAGGGCTGCTCCAAAGAAACATTTAGAAAGGTAAGAAATAATCTTTTTAAAATTAAAGTAAGGTTTTTTCTCAAATTTGACTGCATGTGAAAATACACGTTAATACCAAATCAGCTGAGCAGCAGTGGTTTTACTCATCGCCTACGGTTGCTCTGTAAGAATTTTTTATTTTAATTATCAGTGGCTTTTGTGCAGCTTGAAGTTAAACCATAATGACAACAACAATAACTATAAATAATATTAATCTTGTGTGACATGCCTGGTTGTAGGTGCAGTTTTTCTTCCTGCACTTGTCACATTGCAGCAAGTCTGTCGTAGTTCCTCCAGTCTTTGCCATCTGATGTTCTCTTATGGCTTCTTGTGTCAGTGTGTTCCTGAGCTCCTTCAGCTCATCACTCGCCATCTCCTGTCATTCAAGAGTGGTTCAAGTCACTTAATAGAACATGCTTTCTTGGGAAAAGTATACAAATCAGTAGAAAATAGCAGTTCATACTGCTTCAATAAATAACAAGGCCATACTGTGAAAATAGTGCACTGCAGCAAAGTACAAATAGTTAAAGCTAAACTCCAGGCATATATACAAGGTACAAATGAATGCAGGTCTGTATTCATTAATGCATCATTAAATGTATATTTAAACACTGTGTAAGTACCTTTATCAACGTCTTGTAGTCTACTCTACAGTCTGTATCAGAGCTCAGAGAAGGGGCGGGAGAAGCAGCACAAAGAGCCAGTCAGATGTGCTGCAGTGCAAGGAGCCATGCTGATAGAAGGAGACAGCAGTGACAGAGAGATGTCACCATCAGTGTGTTGCTTCTCCTTTCACTGCCCAGTTACAGAGTGGGGTGTGGAGGAGACCTGTAACCGAAAGTAAAACTGTAGCAGAGAAATACCAGGTCCTGTTCTTGCTAGAGATGGCTTTGCTGTGGGACATAGCTGTGCAGATCTCTGGAATGGATTGGCAGAAATACAAATCCTTTGGGCGGTAAACAGTGGCATCACAAGGGGGGTGTGGCCCGCACCCGGGTGACACCATTGGAAGGGTGACACCAAAATGACTGACAGTCATTTTGGTGTCACTCCCTCTGAAAAGTCGGGCACTAGGTCATGGACTGAGAGCCCGACAGCTGCAGTAGAGAGAGGAGTGGACCTGGCAGCATACCTTATCTGCCGGGTGAACGTCCCCTCCTCTCTCTGCTGAAGCCTATCACCAAGATGGCCACCGTCAAGTATCAAAAAGATGACTGCGATGCGATGAAGTCATTGCGCACGCACTTGGTGACGTCACGTGCATGCGCGATGACGTCACGGCGGGGTGTCTTCCAGTATCTGCTCTGGGTGACACCTGGCCTCGGGACGCCCTTGGCGGTAAAATATCTCTTGTATATGTATTTTAATATGTGTATTTAGCTTTTTGCCTAGAGTTTAGCTTTAGATATATGTAGTCACCAACCAGGATGTAAGATGCACGTGTCATGGCCTGAATGGGGAAGATGAGATCTAAAGATGTCCGTGCTTGACAAGGAGACATGGCCCCGATATGCGTTGTGACCTTCCAGGGGAAAGAAATATATATCTACATTCCAAATGAGGCCAAGATGTTGGGCAACCTATTATGGCTGGTTATTGTGAGATTTCTGCCACTGTTTGTGTCTTTATTCAGATGCCAACTTCCCCCTCAGATCATGACATTTACTATATTTACTTTGCTTTATTAATTATTTCATCGTACTAGGGCCCTGGCAGTTTACTTTTGTTTTCTGTACCATATGAAATTTCTCTGAGTTTTCTGCCAGACAGCCAGACGAGAGTGATTAATGAGTGCTCCCCAGGCTGTAAATACTAATTGGATTTTTATTGTAGATACGGCTGTTGCAGTTTATATGGTATGATTTTATCTACTTCATATGATATCAAAATTGTGGTTTCATATTCAACAACATTCATACTGTGTGGTCATATATAGTACTTCACAGTATTAACAAACTAAAATGAAACATGACATAAAAAGGAACCTGAGGTTTGATTTGCGATAAAACTGATTTTACTTTTCATAAACATTTAACATTTTATCCTGCTTACAACACTGTTAAAGATAAAGCAGACCAAACCTGAAATTTAAGACTGCTAGCATAAAGATATTTATGGTAGAAGAAACTCTGTATGTCTCTTCTGCTGTAAAACTTTTCCCCTACCTGCTAGCAGTTTTAATGAATTGTACACTGACATTTGCACGTGAAACCTTATAGGTGTAAGAAGTGCGTGCAAGGGGCCATTATGAATGAACTCCGGTGCCTTTGCGTGGGAGTCATGTCCTCCTGGCCAATCAAGACATTCGAAGGCTTCTAAACTTAACGGGGAGAAGATGTAAGCACCAGTGACAGAACGATGTGGGAAATGACAGACATCTCAGCCATGGAGGGAGCACTTTATATGGTAAGTGAGCCATAATATACAAATATACTGTACATACTTGTACATTGTGGCAAACGCTCTGGTGAGGTGTGGGCCCTCATGAGGAGGTTAATTATAGGATGTACTATAAAAGGCCTGTGTCTATATATACAGTCATATACAGCCCAGATGCCTAGCTGAAGTCATTAATGGCATGTAGCATCCAGGTGGGTAGCACTCTTTCTTATAGTGTGAGGGCCCTAGGTTTGAATCTCAGCAGGTACACTATTTGCATGGTATGTCTATATTCTGCCCATGCTAGTGGAAGTGTCCTCTGGATGCTTCAACATCTTCTCCCAATCAAAAAACATATTGGTAGGTTTACTGATACCTGTCCAAATTGGCCCCAGATTATGTCGGATTCCTTAGGGGTAAGGGCCAGTTCATTGTATTATGTAAACCACTGTCAAATACACTGATGCTATAAGTGGAAAATTCTAACAGCAAATGCCCAATATTTGATGATAGTTGTAAATATTTTAGTACAAACAGCCACATTTTATCAGCTTAACCATTTGAGTTGTCATCTTAAATGAAAATCTTGTTTATATACCATAGCTGTAAAAGCTGGCCACTATATTTTGGACATCTTAACAACAGCTATACCATAAGAATAATATATAGTCCACACAACAATGTATTTGTAAGATCCGATTACCTCAGCCGTCATTGTTGCTATACTCTGTGCCGATACAGAGCCACATAGGACATTTCGCCTCAGATTGGGATTCTTTGGATCCTTTAAATTACTAATCCGACTCCGGATTCTGTTTCTGTATTTCATATCTGTAGCCTTAATTTCTTGGTATATATGTGAGAATGTCATGGAAAGCGACAAGAGGATGTATAAGCAAGCCTTTCAAAACAAAACAACAAGCAAAGACAGCTTTGCACAAAGTATGACAAACACCACACTGTACAGGAAGACTATGGTGAGTGCTCGAAAACACTGTCAATGTCACTACACGGTGGCCATGACAAACATGCCTGTAGCATAACCTAAGACGTCTTGTAAGACTTTGCATTAAACAAAAGCTGCTTCTTTTACCAATTCTGCTTACCTATGCATGATTAAATCACTTACAATGGATGCTGTGCCTTGATGTTTAAAAGTTTTGGTTACCTGCAGAATCAGTTGGTCCCCTGAGCACTAGCTCTGATATCTGGTTTTAGGGTGGCTTCTTAGCTTGGCAGGGTCAAATGGAGCCACCCTTGGTGTGCTAGTTTGCTGTGTGTATCTCCACACTCCCCCACCACCCTCTCTTCCCTTTTCCAAGCTAGTAAATAGATAGCTGCTGGAGGTTGCTCTGTCCATTGTGATCTTGTACTGGACAGGAAGTGCAGGGAAGCCGAGCTGAGAGTGTTGGAGCCAGCTGTTCAGAAACATGATAATTGTTAGTGCTTGGGCAAAATTGTATTAATTATTGAAAAAAAGATTGAGTGTTTAATACTACTTTAACTTAGTACAAGGTACTGTATAATTATAATTTTAATTTTAGATATATATTCATTATTTATTTATATGTATACACTCACTGGCCACTTTATTAGGTATACCTGTTCAACTGCTCATTAATGCAAATATATAATCAGTCAATTACATAGCAGCAACTGAATGCATTTAGGCATGTAGACATGGTCAAGATGATCTGCTCAAACCAAGCATCAGAATGGGGAAGAAAGGTGATTTAAGTGATTTTGAACGTGGCATGGCTGTTGGTGCCAGAAGGACTGGTCTGAGTAATTTAAAAACTGCTGATCTACTGGGATTTTCATGCACAACCATCTCTAGGGTTTACAGAGTATGGTGTGAAAAATGGAAGTTCTATGGGCAAAAATGCCTTGTTGATGCCAGAGATCAAAAGGAGGATGGCCATATATCTATGAGAAAACCTGTCTCAACCCCTGAACGCCCTTGTTGTAATTTGTAACACTGCATCATGTGTATGTAAGAACATCTTATACGGCCTGTGAGGACCAATGTTGTGCCTTACCGCTATTTCCTGTTATTTGTGTGAACATTTTTGAAATAAAAAATTTATTTAAAAAAAAGGAGGATGGCCAGATTGGTTCAAGCTGATAGAAAGGCAGCAGCCAGTAACTCAAATAACCACTCGTTACAATCGAGCATCTCTACACAACACATTGAACCTTGAAGCAGATGGGTTACAGCAGCAGAAGAACACATTAGGTGCAACTCCTGTCACATAAGAACAGCAAACTGAGGCTACTAAGTGCTCACCAAAATTGGACAATAGAAGATAAAAACGTTGTCTGGTCTGATGAGTCTCGATTTCAGCTGCGACATTCAGATGGTAGGGTCAGAATTTGTCGAAAACAACATGAAAGTATGGATCCATACTGCCTTCTATCAACAATTCAGGCTGTGGCGGGGGTGTAATGGTGTGGGGGATATTTTCTCTTCACGCTTTGGGCCCCTTAGTACCAATTGAGCATCATTTAAATGCCACAGGCTACCTGAGTATTGATGCTTATCATGTCCATGCCTTTATGATAGTAACTTGTCGATTCTTTTCCACAAAGAATTAAGGCAGTTCTGAAGACAAAAGGGGGTCCAACCAGTACTAGCAAGGTGTACCTAATCAAGTGGCCAGTGAGTGTATATTTCTTACTTATCTATCATCAGGAATTGAAAATAAATAATTTTCAGTTCTGTAAAATCGAGATAGGGATTGGGAAACATTAAAGCTGTGTTAGCCCTTTCTTGCCCTGCCAGAAATACTTTTTTCAAAGTTGCAGTGACAATAGGGATGTTAAATGGTAAATAAGTAATTAACCGATTTCTGCTATTGTCAAAAGAAAGAAAAATCTCCATAATCTTTTGGACCTATAGAAGGCATCTTGATTCTGTGGTTTCTAGACAAGAATCTAGTCACCTCCCACAATGCAATTACATCCAGCAGTAAAATATCCCTTCCATCACCAATTAGAAACCTTTCTTCAGGTGCAGAGAGCTGATCTCTAATTTTATCCTTCAGTATCAGGTACAGCTGCAATTCCCAGCAAGTGCATACAATTTAATAATATGGGATTTTTATTGTGATCAGAGCTCTCCTCATATTCACATTTAAAAAGGATATATTCTTCTATTTCCCATGCAAGTCTGTCACAGTTTGCTCCAAACTGTATAAAGTCACCTAGAAGGAAATATGGGAAATAATTATTTAGGGTGCCATGCCACACTAAGAAACAATGTTGTGGCTGGGCATACACTTTAAGATGAATTACACTATCACACCAATTGATCCTGCCAGGCGTTACACAGAGAAGTGGCTGGATAGCACAATTGCTGTGCACCTGCCTGTCACTTCACAAAGGAGGATGTACTTGTAGTCAGTTGGTGTCTAATGGGGCGGCTCCTATATACCTAATACAATACCTTTAGTAATGTAGTAATGTAATTCGAAGAGATGGTTGTAGGGGGAGGGCAACAAAGTGTTACCTGGCATAGAGCTCCATTCTGCCTTAATCTGCCTTTGACCTAACATCTGTGGACTTACCATCAGTCTTCAGAGCAGCTGCCACCATATCCACACACTTGTCCCTAACAGAGTTCCCTGTCGCATAACTCGGTGGTAGAAGAAAAGTTGAAGGAGGACTACTACAGGTAGGAGAACTTCCCAACGGATTACTTGGGCTAAAAGATAAAAAGTACTTCTCATTAACAAAGAAAAAGGCAGAAAATAGTTATTTCTCTGTGTTTACTTTAAAGATAAATTGACCTTTCTTCTTTAGTATGTGTGGAAGGTTTGCTGGATGGTCTGCTGGATCCATTCCGTTCAGTGGCTGTTTGGTTATTAGTAGAGATTCTTCTGAGAAGAACAAAATTAAAGGAATCAATATTTGTCTTCTCCTCTTTAGACACTCATGCTACACTTATAGTTTTACCTTTCTTCTTTGTAGGTGGTAGAACTTTTACTTGAGGCAGATGTTGGGAGTGAAGTATTCAGGGACAACCTCCTAAAAAGCATACATAAATAGGTTTTTCCGGGAGGCTCAGCTTGCATTGCACAACTATTTGATAGGTCTTCAAATTCTAACTCACCTTTCTGGATTCTTGGAAGTATGTGATGAAGATTGAACATCAGTAGAATGACTCCTGCAAAGAGCACATCAATAATATATACAGTACTGCTATACTATTATAAATAGTGATTGCTGCATTCAGAGCATACGTGGAAGAAATCATCAAATTATATTTACCTGTGCTTCCAGAATTATACTACCCAACTTCTGCCATTCTATCACCTCAGAAGGTAAGCATTGGGAGTACTCATGCCATATACAATGTTATGAATATTTGGAAGTGGAAGGAAAGCACCGGACCTGTGTGAGTATTTTGTTTTTATCATCTAATAGTGATTAAGTGATGTGAATATGTGTAATCTGGATAATGGATAGGCAACTATCACTGGCCTAAGGGTCTCCACAGTATCCTCGGCTTGACAGTGAACATAGTAGATTGAGTAGAATAGCCAATGCATTTTGGGCTCCAAAAACACCCCCTTCATAAGGAGTTCAAGAGGAAATCAGGAGCTATGATGGGAAAGATTGTAGCTGCTGTTTTGGCAATCCCTCAATCCCTGATGAAGGTGTTTTTGAGCTCCCAAAACACATGGGCTATTCTGCTCAATTGTCCCTTGACACTAGTGGAATAAAATTGTATCTGGACTATTTCAATTGGTGTGGCACTTCAATTCCTACATATGCTATGTTATTGCAGGATAGGAATAGGACATTTTAGCTTCTTAGGAGCAGATTTCTGTGGACTATATAAATTGTACCATGAAAAATATACCATGGTACCTTATTGATTGGTGGACATGATAAAAGGTGTTACTGAAGGAAATTGTCTATTGTGACACATTTTTTTTACATCTTCCAGCAAGAGAGCCACAAAGGCAGTTTGTTCTAGAATGCTTTCCTTGCCAGACATGGAGATCACAGGTCTGAATAAAGTAGCTATATGATGCCCAGCATGTGTCACTGACTGCAAGTTCTGCTTTGATCAAAGTGTATTTCCATTATATTATTATGGCCACCAGCCCAACATATCTTCTTAGTACTGGACCAAGGTGAAAATTCCCAGATGACTCCCCTCCTAGTCCTCCCCTATGTTAGGGTGTGTAAAAGCTGCAAACTATAGTATAAAAATATATAAAGGTATAAAATACCCTCAGGGTTTCACTGTTGAAAATAGAAGATATCTTTCCAGTTGTTTATTATGTCAAATTACAGTTCTCTCGACTATTGTCCTAGATATTAACAATAAACCCCATTCACAGTCCAAATGCTGCGTATATGATCTACATAGTGAGCAGTAAAATGATCTTTAAATTACATCACAAATAAGTAAATAAATAATGATTAAAATGTTTTCTTTTCACAAGTAGAATTCAAGATCATAAACTCTAGTCCATGCATTGGCCCTTTATTGGTAAAATAGCATGTTTTAGGCTTATGTGCTACTGATGTTCCAATAATGTGAATGAGTCCTGGGGCACTACTTTACCTTTTAAGCTTTTTTTCCTTAGCAGTTGCCTGCTGTTTCATGGGTGGAGGATTCAATTCAGCGCTATCCCTGTGGAACAAAATGTAATGTTATCAATACCCCAACCTGAAACCTACATTGCTACAAAAACAGTGACTGGCATCCACCACCATCAAACACCCACAATCTTAATTAGCAGTGCTCTCATTTATAAGAAAATTTTCTTTATTTAGTTTTAAATAAGCATATATAAAATGGTCGTACTGGGCACATCCTAAGCCAACCCTCCTAAACCAATAATAAAACACAAACAAAAACCATAAAGGCAGCAAATCAGCCCACCCAATCCCCCAAAACACCCCAAATGCAACCAGGATATTGGTAACAGTGCAGCCCAAAGTGAACACTATCTAAGAGAAGGTGCGTACATCACTGTGTCAGACGGAAAAAAATATTTTTGGAATTATGGCGGGCTCTGACATCATCATGAAATCAGAGGTGTCTTGAGATCTTGTGATGAGTTTTAGGGTATATATATATGGGTATTACATGTTACACCATTGTAACTATGTCGCCCTGATGAAGGGACCCTGTGTGGCCTCGAAACGTTGGCTTTTCTGATATGATACATGTGACATCAATAAATGATCAACAAGATCTAAAAACTACATTTTGAGTGTTGATGATTTTCCTTTTTTCTGAATTTGAAGATAGACGGCGCCATCCGTATTTATCACTGCAAGCACCACATTGACTATTGGTTCCAGATGCTGTAAGGAGTGCAGGAGAAACATCTATACAAAACTGTGTCAGAGGGAACACCTCATAAATCAGAAGGTGACAGCCACAGAAAACAGAGACATAGACAATACTAACAACACTGGAGGCTTATGGTATCGGCTACGGAGTCGCTGTAAGGTGACCGGACAACAAGAAATCCCAGACCTTAGTACAGTTATGCGCACAACCTCTGGATTTGTAAGTAGCCTTATACAAAGGTAAGATGGAGTTTGGACTTCCAAAATGCTAAAGTAGAGGTTGCAGGGTCCTTCTACTTGAGGACAATAGCTTTCCTAGCATAAAACAGCAGGAGACTGCTGACTCCAACTCGACTGGCATTACGAGTTGGAGTCAGAGGTTCAACTAATCTTAGTAAACAGGTCTCCACCATAATGGGAAGATCCACAGTAGTGAGCATGGAAATAAAGGCTGGCACCTCTCGTCAGTAGGCATTGCCATGTTTACAGCTAAACTCCAGCTTTAAAAAATTATAAATACTTACACTGGTCTAGTTTGGCACAGGGATCATGTAATACAGCAGTGTACCACAGCGTCTTCCAAGTATAGGCTCAGTCGATGTGCTGAGTAGCGTCCTCGAGTGCTGTTAAAACACAGCAAGTCACTCGTTCAGCACAGTGGCCATTCACAAAAGGCCTAGTATTTTTCAGAATCAATACTAGGCCTTCTCTGATTGGACGAGGGGCAGTGACATTATGACAATGGACCAGTATAAGTATATATACTTTTTTAAAGCTGGAGTTCAGCTTTAACTTTTAATTGCTCATTTGCATCAGGAGTGTTTCTGTTAAATATGATTTTTTTTGTCCCAAGCCAATATAGGTTTCCACTTAACAATACATATTGTTAATAATTACATATTAGAAATAATTTAAAGTGCAGGTTCCCTTTTTGTCTGTAAATTATACAGTTGATAGCAATTGGTATAGTTGTTAGATAAGTGCAAAAAATACTTGTTCATCCTACCAAGAAATTTAAAATCAGTCCTGGGTAATGTCCTATATCTCAAGCAATGTTATCAGAATTGCCCAGTTAATTTCTGCGAAATAGACACTTGGTTGTAAGGTGAATTTATTACAGGTAGAGATGTTCGAATGTCCAAACCCGAGCTCCTCCAAACCGGGAAGCTATATGGAGCAAACTGTCCAGTCAGCTGTTGGTCTGGACATTCTTCGCCCTGCAGCTGCAGATAAACAAGGGTGTGAGATGCTTTCACTGACATCATAGACCTTAAATGGCCAATGTCATTGACCAAAGATAGCCATGTGGCCATATAATGTCAATGATGTCAATGCATGCTGCCCTTTTGCTTACATGCAGCTGCGGGCAGAGAATTCTCCAGCCACAGCTGACAGGGTGGCAGTGAAAGGATCTTCCTTCCATGCTCTATGGAGCCCCTTCCATGATATGGCCAGGTTCAGTCCAAACCTGAGATCATCCTTAGACACAGTTCAGTAAAATGGTATTCTATTTATATAATGTGACTTCATTGAGTTTCATTTTTATAGATCTACCCATCACATATGCACCAGTAAGGAAAAAGCTGACTATTGGTATTCTTACAATCATGTGATCTTGACTGATATGATTTGCCAAAACCAGGAAAATAACTGGATTGTAAGAAGACCAATAGTCAGCTATTTCCTGGCTGGCGATCATTCGAATGGGTCACATAGTAATTAGGAGATAAGTGGCTAGGTGTTTCCTAGTTCTGGTGGATCATGTGATCGGACAGGTCGCAAGATTGTGAGAAGACCAATAGTCAGCTATTTCCTGGTTCTGGTTGAATATATAATATCACATTAAGTTTTATATTATATAATTTCTCAATGTCACCTACTATACTGTAAATCAAGTAAGCTGGAGAGGAAATACTGAATATGTCCTATCCTTACAGAAAAAATTGCACTTCATGCATAGTCTCCTAAAGCTGTGGTGCACAATTTATGGCTTTCTACCCTACCACCATTCACAAGCCAAAAGGTACCCATATGATTTGCATAGTCTGAAGTGAAAAGGATCTTTAGAAAAAAAAGAAAATACTTTAGTTGAAGTTTTTTTTTACAAGCAGGAGTCGGAAATCATAAAGTGTAGTCCATGCATCACAAAAAAGCATTGACCCTTTATTGGTAAAATAGTATGCTTTATGTGTATGTCCTACTGATATGCAGCTACTTTGAGTAAGTTCTGACTGTGCACACAACTTTACCTTTTAAGCTTTGTTTCCTCAGTAGTTGCCTGCTGTGTCAGAGATGGAGAATTCAATTCGGAGCATTCCCTGCATGAGAAAATTGAAATGTGAACAACAGCTTCTTCCTGTAAGCCTATTATTGCACTGATTTTATCATAGTACCCCAACCTGGAGGGGAAGTGAGCAGGGCCACCATCAGGGGGGTATGGCCAGTACTGGTGTAAGGGGCCCAGGCGGCCGGGAGGGGGGGGGCAGGCTACAAGCAAGCATTTTTATTATAGATTAATATGTGGAGTTGAATTAGTCAGGTCCCGGGCCCCCCTGTGCTATTGGTATCTTCTTATTGATTATGTGCAGGAAGGTTTTTCGGGGGCGGAGTTTTTTTTCCCGGGCAGAAGCGCTGAAGACCAAGGCTGGAGCGGAGCACAGCTGCTGCCTGGAGGGGAAAGGTAAGGGTTTTCCAGCAGACGTCCTGGGGATTGGTGGGGGCTGTGATAGAGACTGACTGACGCTGGGGGGAGTGAGAGACACTGTTGACTTTGAGGAGGAGGAGGAGGGGGGAAAGTGAGAGACACCGCCAACGCTGAGAAAAGAGGGGAGAAGAGTGGCAAACACCAACAATGCTAAGAGGAGGAGGGAAGGGGGGTGAAGAGTGAGAGACCCTGACCGAAGCTGAGAGGGGGAGAGTGAGAGACACCGACCAACGCTGAGAGGGGGAAGAGTGAGAGACACCGACCGACGCTGAGGAGGAGGAGAGTGAGAGACACCAACCAACGCTGAGGGGGGGAGTGAAGGACACCGACAGACACTGAAGGGGGGAAGTGAGAGACACTGAGCGACGCATGTGGGAGAGAGTGAGAGACACTAACCGATGCTGAGGGGGCAGGGAGAGAGACACTGACCGGCGCTTGGGGGAGTGAGAGAAAGACATCAACCGATCCTGGGGGGGAGAGGGAAACTGACGCTAGGGGGAGGAGAGAGAGAAAGACACTGACTGACACTTGGGTGGGGGGTAAGAGAAGGACACTGATTGACGCTTGGGGGGGTGAGAGAAGGAAACCGGTCGATGCGGAGGGGGGGAGACACCAACACTGAGTGAGGGGAGAGGGACATGACCGATGCTGGGGGGGGCACTGACCAACACTAAGGTTGCCACCTGTCCGGTTTTCACCCAGACAGTCCGGTTTTGGAGTCTTGACACTCAGTGCCGACATCGACACTTTACATTTTCTGACAGATGCGGCTGCCGAGGTCCTCTGCAAGCGTGATCTCAGGCACCTGCATCTGCCTGAAACCGGATCTTCCTCTGAGCCGCAGGCAGCCCGTGCTGCGGGTTTCAGACAGATGCGGTTCCCCTAGATCGCTCTTGCCGGGGACCTCGGCAGCCGCATCTGTAATTGCTTCTCCTTCCCCTTCTCCTCTTAAGGCTCCCTGACACTGTGCTGCCCGCCTGCGGACCCCTGGGGAGACACCATAGCCAAACAGCCCTGAGAGTCGCACAGCCCAACTGAGTGACTCCCAGCCCACCACACACAGTCAGTGTTACCTATGCTGTGTCACCCCAGCAGAGTCAGTGTTACCTGTGCGGTGTCACCCCAGCAGAGTCGGTGTTAGCGTTGCGGTGTCACCCCAGCGGTGTCATTGTTACCTGTGTGATGTCACACCAGCGGTGTCAGTGTTACCTGTGCAGAGTCACCCCAGCAGGGTCAGTATTACCTGTGCGGTGTCACCCCAGCAAAGTCAGTGTTTCCTGTGTGGTGTCACCTCAGCAGATTCAGTGTTACCTGTGAGGTGTCCCCTCAGCAGATTCGGTGTTACCTGTGCTGTGTCACCCCTGCAGAGTCAGTGTTACCTGTGCGCTGTCACCCCAGCAGAGTCATTGTTACCTGTGCGTTGGAATACACATTTCAATTTCATATAATAAGTTGTAATAGTGTTAAAATAAAAGTGGGTGCACTGAAGGACCCAGAGGGATTATTATTATTATTATACAGGATTTATATAGCACAAACAGTTTGCCCCAAAATTTCTGATGGCTGCCCTGGAGGTGAGACATAATATATAAGCGAAGGTGGGGATGAGGAAACTGAAGAGAGAAGGCAGTGCACTACGCAGGGAACACTGTAGACCAAGAAGGAATGCAGTACAGAGAGTCTGCTGGAAGAGGATAGGAACAGTACAAGGGGGTATTAAAAAACAGCGGAAGGAAACTACAGAGGTAGCAGTGGAGAGCTGTTGCCCAGCATAGGGGGATGAGAAGAGATGCACTACAAAACGGTGCAGAAGGGGGACAAGTGAGCAGTACAGAATGACAATGGAAAACGAGGAAAGCAAAAGTACCTGGTGGATAAAATTGCAGCAATATAAGATGGATTTTAGTTAGCCCTTCTCTATGGTTCAAGTGACCTGAACAGCTATGAAAGGCAAAAGCTAATGCAGGATTAGCTGGATGGCAGGGTAAGCATAATTTGAACAGGATCAAACATGCTGTCAAGGAATGTCCCTATATTCTACCCAAGTAATTTCCTATAATTTTCTTTTTCTGACATAATTTATTAATTACTTAGCAAATTCTGCATATTTGCACTTTAAAACAGTACCAAACATTTTCCCATTGTATATTTAAAAGTTAAAAATGGAGCACATAAGAGAAGTTTATTGTTGGGGTTTGCATACACTTTAAAAGTTTTATTTTGTTATGGAATTACTGTATTCCAAGGAATATGTATAGTGTTGATTTTAACATCCAGATCAGGTAATATAATAGATTTAAGTAGAACTGTTGAACATGAAAGCAATCTAAGAAACCCTGCTATGAGAAACTAAGGAAGGCTGCCACTGCTAAGACTCCTTCTGTAATCCCTTTTTACTTGGCTGCCATGCTGACACTTTGGATTCAATACTTTCTGAGTCACTGACCTAGAACAAATACAGAAATAAGAAATTCTAACTTTTCTCTGGCTTACAATTGCTGTGAGGTTGTTTTGGATCAACAACTCTGAGACTTGGGTTTACAACTCTATGATGGTATTTTTAGCAAAGAATAGACATGGATAGTTTGATGCTAATCTATCTTAAAACTCTTTAGACTTTTATCTGGTATTCTTACTTTTTTTGTTTTGGTTCCTTTACTGGAGAATGCAGACTTGGGGGTCGAGGGACATCAAAAGAAGCACTGAATGACAAAAGAATGTCAATGATTGCATAAAACACTAATGCTGGCTAGTGGGATCTTTCATCAAGAACACTGAACTATTCGATATATGGCAATTCTTTAAAACATTGCTAAACACCAACTGCAATATATATTGTATTTCTTCTGGGTCCTGCCCTAATAGATTTCCAATACATGTTTTTCATATAAACATACATATATACATACAAAGATTAGATCGTATCTCTTTTACATTTAGATAAATTAATTTAGTGACCTCAGGATCCCAAAAGACACATTTCTAGAATGCTGTACAATGTACACTTTGGGAGACAAAATATGTTTTACAATGTAAAACTATGTACACATTTTTCATTTTATTTTAACCTTCAGCTACCTTTCTCTGTTGCATCTTTGGTATAATGCTTGGAAAATTGCCTTGTCTGTAATCAGCTTTCATTATATCATTTTGTCAAATATAAAGTTCAGGGACTCACTGACATAGGAAATATGTTGAACTATGTTGTTTACTGTCACAGTGTTTTTTCCTCTTAAAATATTGCTGCATGAGATAAGAACTGAAGATATACTTACAGCAAGTCCTTGAATTCTTGCATTCTGTTTGTATAACAAGGTATTAATTATCAATATACAACTACCTTGCTGTAATAGAAAAATTATTTCTTGAAAATGTAGTCAATTAAGGTTTATTATGCATTATGCCTGTTTAAATTAGCATTAATTAGAGCATATTTTTAGACACACATCATTTTTGCCCTTAGTTGCTGCACTATGGACATTTGATATTAATTAGGTTAAATAAATGTGTATGCAAATAGTAATAAATGTAGACTAGCAGGAGCAACAATTAATATTTTGTGAAATTCAGGCAATAGTCAAGAAATATAGGGAATTCGTTTATAGGTCAAAGGGTAAACAGAATTGTAATGAGCAACTTTAAATTGAAGGAAATGTGGTTAGTAGAAAATCTAATTATCATTTTTCCCATTGGGCCACTGAACGTCTGAAAATCAATATTGGAAGATTTCAGGTGAAATAAACACTATGCTTTTGTTGCTTTATATAGAGAGGTCATAATTAGCTGAAAATTGGATTGATGATAGAGGAAATGCTTAATAATTTATAACGTTTGATGTTAAATCACAACTATTTCATTAGCACATATTGCTTATTTATTTATAGGCTTTGTTCTTCACATGCTCCTTTTCAGAAATGCACATTCTATTTTTCTTTAACATAACAAAGAGTTTGTTCTAAAAAAAACAAGCCGCACTTCCGTGGATCACCATAGATAAAACAGTTATTTATTGAAATAACAAATACATGCTGTGGAACAACTCCCCATGTGTTCAACCTCTCACGCGTTTATGGGTAGGATAAAGAGTGCAGAGTAAAATTTTGAAATTAACAGTCATTTGTATTCCCTTTTTTAACCACTAGTTGTTTGTCTTATGTAAAATGAACAAAAGGAAACCATGCAAAAAAGCCTCATGTATTACTAACTACTTCCTTACTTTCTAGCTAGAGTGATTAGGAAATCCAATCATGTATATATTACGGAAGATGCCAATGCTTCATGGCTACATACAGAGAAGACACTTTAGCAAAAGCACACAGATTCTGCTTATTAACATTTAGCAATCTGTTAACAATGTTTTTTTATCTTTTACCTGTGCAGCCTTAACTATGTAATTATTTTACGTTCCTTTATGAACAATTATTTGTATATGATGGTAGTACAAAACAGCAATTAATTGGGCAATAATACAAATAGGTACCTTCCTTTAGTTGGATGTGGCTTCTTGTGTGCAGAAGATGGATGTTTGCTGATGACAGAGACAAAAAACAGATATTTTTCCTCTTTAAAAAAGAAGTTGAAATAGAGCCCTTGTTTTACAATAAGCGCAGATTATCCTACATAACAAAATTAGTACATTATTTCCATGTTTACTTAAAAGAAACTATAACGGTTTTGGGTCAATTTTTAAAATATTTTCTGCATGTTTTTAAATATTTATATAGAATCTTTGATTCACAATTAAACATTTAATACATGACAAATGATTCCTAGAGCACTTTGGGTTATTTAAAGTGAGGGCATAGTAGTTGTTCCCATTCAGGACCTCTTTTTTTAAAAACCTCAAGGAAGTGTTCGGGATGAGAGTCTGTGTTTTGACTTATTCAATTGTATGTTTACATTTCACCTTTTGCTGTTGAGCTCTGTAAAAAACAGGGTTATATACAACAAAGAAGTATGAAACCAGGAAAAAGTAGCGGATAACTTTCTACCTGCTGGCAGCATATGTAAAAACAACATTTTTCATGAAACATTTACATTTACAAATTGTATTTTTAATTGTACTTTTTTTTTTTTTTTAAGGGAATTACAAAAATATGTATACTGCATTGGTGACCTATCCTTCTTGACATTTCAATTTCCTTGTTGTCACCTTAGGTTTAATACTTTGTGAGATTTTAGCCTAGAACAATTATAAAATTATTCTATGTCCTATGTGGTAGTCCCATAGGAAACACTCTCCCAACTGCCGCTTGCACCACAGGAAGCAACGCCAACATTTGACAAATATTTTAGGTGTTAGATTGCATGGCCAAAGGTGTTGACAGTGCGATGTCACCTGACTCTCTTCTAGAAGTTAGGCAGTCAATCAATTGACTCGCATAAGATGTTCTGACATCATTGTTTCTGGATTTCAACTTAGTGTAATGTAAGGACAGCAAGCAGTTTATGAAGCCAAGTAAAATCTGTTTAGATATCAACCAAATATTATGAAGCCATTTGTCTCTTTATGTGGTCATTTTATGGCTGCTTCTATACCCTATGCCTTCCAGACTATTATTTAAAAAGGATCATTTATAAATCATCTGCCCAGCTAGATGCTGGGCAGATGCCATTTGCATGGCATTCTTGCCACTAGATGGAGCAGAGTACCATAGGACTTTCCTATGCTCCTCGACACCAGACTGGGAACCAGACTGAGCATGATTATTATGCATATAGACACGTTACCATCTTTGATATAAGTAGAAACAGTAAAGTATTACCTTACAAGTAATTAAGAGTAGACTAGTCAAATGTAGTGCATTCTGTGATTGCAAGATTCTGTGATAATCTAGATTTAAGTAGTTTGCTTCACTTGTCTCTAAGCTACCATGAGTAAAAATCTGTGCATCTTTAAAAATTAAATCAGTCTTTGATGTAGAATCATCAGAATTAGCGTACAAATACAGATCACAGCTTTCTCATAGATGGCTATAAACTAATTACACCCTCCTCATTAATATTTATTACTGTACTAACGTATTTCAATGCAACTTTTTTCTTCTTTCTGTGTGCATAATTGGAAATGTCAGCAAGTGGAAACTTATTGAAAAGAAGAATAAGGAAGAGAACTGAGAAACCTGGCCTCATTTGCACAATAGAGACAGGACTGGAGGTTCTTGACACTTACCTTGCAGGCTCGGTCCTGGTAGGAGACTGCTTAAACTCAGGAGCAGAGGGTGCATTATTCTTGTATGAGGATTCTGAGGGAAAGCACACCGCAAATGTATCCAGGGTAATACAGGCAAGAGGAAAAATCACTATGAAAGTAGAAGCATGTAAAATACAGTACAGTAAAGTACAGTCTGCATGTTCTTTCCATGTCATATATGGCCATCATAGCCCTAAGGATATCTGTCCCGACTCTTGATAAAATACAGAATTGTATCTAAAGACTTCAAAGCTATGGTACAAAAATGAACAGGGGTCAACTCATATCTTGTATAAAAAAAAACTCATAGTTGACCCATTCAATCATTGTTTTGCCTATTTTAAAGAAAATGAGCCCTGCCAATGCCATAGGTTTACATATAAGATGTATGTCAAGCCGAAGGATTTTTTCTTAGAGTGGGGAAGGATTAGAACCCACATCAGGTCATTCTAAGCAGTGCTTCTCAGACATTTTTTAGTCACAGCACCTTTTAAATATATGCAAAATCTTGAGGCACCCCAGTCTAAAACAAAAATAGTAAATGTAAAAATGTAAATCAAAATATGTGACCGTTATCCCAGGTAGAGGTCTGGTATGGATTTTAAGCGGGACTGCATGCAAAAGCAAAAAAAAAGTCAGGTTCCCTTCGTCACATCAGAAGTTCTCAGTTACCCCTTCACATCAGAGTCCTTATCCCCCCTCCCCCTTTACATCCTACTATCATGTCAGGAACTGCAGCAGTAGGTCAGAGGGCCAGGGGTAGAGCAGGCCTGGACAAAGGCAAACATCAATGCTTTTGCTAAATCTCACCCTCTCGGGATTACCATCATTGATTTCCATGGTGCTGGTGGTCGGCCAGCCTGCCTTAAACCATGGAAAGTTTGAGGCACCCCGGAGAAAGCTAGAAGGCATCCCAGGTGACCGTGGTGGAGAAAGGCTGCTTTAGAGAGATTTCCCCTCACTTCCCCTGTCAGGGGAACCACTGTCAGATTTTATTTCTGTGTCACTGTTGCAGATTTTCCCTCACTTTCTGTCTGGTGGAACCATTGTCAGCAGGACAGTAAGTAAGGGGAAATCTCTCTAACATGAGCCCCGGATAGCAATAAAAACCAATCCGAATTTCTAACCCTTCCTTATACTACCAAAAAAAAAAGTTTTTGGCTTGACTTACACTTTAAATGCTGTCTACATCTGTAAGGAATGAGCATGTATCTAGTACAAAAAAAAGGAGTAATACTTGTGATTGGTTTGACTGATACCATAGGCTCTATCACTGTTGCATGACCTGCAGTTAAGAGTAATGAATAATTCTGCATTAGATAAAAAGTCAGAAGAACTAACAGTATGGAGGACCATGCATGTGGTATCATTTAGGCAGACTGGCTGCACACACCAACAGACCATTCTTTTAGCCACCAGACTAAAGAAACACCTTACAGCATGTTCTACAGAATGGGTTAAAGACCAGCTGCATGTTATTACTTGCAGATAATCCAACTGTAAACACTGGGTTTTTTTCTTTCATCACTATACCCACTCACCTAGTACTTTCTTCCAATCCCTGATGATGACTTTGGCAAGTTCTACAATGTGGTGATCCTTGTTGTGCTTCCTTAACTTGTTTATAGTAACCCCAATCTTTGTGCTCTGAGGGTGAAAGTAAAAACTATGGTCTAGTCACTTTGCAAAAACAGCGAGTTACCCCTAACAAGCAGTTAAGTAGAACTGTGGCCGCCCATTAAAAAATATGTTGCACAGCGCTTATTTCCTGTGATGGTGTAGCAACGATGCTGCACTGCTCCTGAAATCAGAGCAGAGTTGCAGCTCTCATGTAGGCGGCTCCTATTTGCACTACAGTGGGATTTAAAAATGTTGCAGTGGGCATGCAGGGAGCATTGTTACCTCTTACAAGCCTGTAGCTTTTCCACCTAGTGGTTCCCATTGCTTTCTGGACTTGTAGAACTGACTCTGTTCTTAAAAGGCTTGTGCATCACATAGCAACTTTATTTGGTACATGTTTAGAATATCATACAAAAGCCTTTAGTTGTACTTTAACCTAGGCCACAAAGGTTTTGGAAACTTCTTACTGGTCTGCGGCTCTAAAGTGGGGGCGGGAAGCACACTTACTCGAAGGAGGGGGACTGTCACAGGAAATCTCTGCAGTTCCTTTAAGAGATCCAGAATTCGATCCTAAAGAATGAACAGTAAGGAAGACATTAATGTGATAGTGTATGTGGACGAGAGAAGCACAAGAAATAAAACATGGGGATATACTGGGTTGTCTAGTAGTCAGTCATTTGGCTGTGTCTTCATGAGTGATTAAAGGAAACTTGTAATAAGAGGAGGTCTCTTCCGAATAATCCTAATTACATGCAGGGCTGTATCCTGCTGCCCTAATCTTTAGAATTTTTAGCAGCCTCTAGAAAAATTTAATGGTAGAATGAGCTACTGGAGGCAGCATCCTATATGCTTTATATGCAGATGTAAATTTGAAGACTGCCAGACATGAGCAAGGAGAAATGGTTTCATGTTTTCAGAACCTATGACTCCTCTCAACATCATCTGCTCCCCCTACAAATGTCTTGCCAAATTTAGCCACAAATGTTCAGGGGTGGACATAAAAAGGAAGCAAAATATGGGAAAAGATACCACAACCTATAAATTCAGTAGTCATGATACTGCCTCTCTAACACTGCTACCCTAGCTACTGGCCTATAAGTGACATTATAGTAAATACAGCCCTGGTTGCATGGGTTACTTTCAGTCCCTGACCCAATACAAAGATTATAAAGTCACAGTGAAATTTAGACCTCCAGATTTACAGACTTGCTCCTGGTCAGTGAAGGAAACTATTTTTCTTTTTCAGAAAGAGGGGTCAACAAGGGTAGCCTCCCTATTCTTTCAGTAAAGGTTACCTCTAATTCCAGGCAGATACATTCAAAATCCAATAATTAATTACACCTGTATAAATTAGAAAATATTAGTCATTTTCAAAAATGAGTTTGCAATTGTCCAATTCGATTGGAAATAAATCAGGAAAATAATGTAATTAAAATCACAGACTCGCTTTTCTGGTTTTGTTGTGGATAAAGGAAACTGAGTTTATGGAGCTTTCTGTATCTTGGTTGAGAACATTGTTCCTCATGTTGTAAAACTATGTTTCGTTCATTAGTTATTATCATCATTGTTAAACTTTTACGTCAACCCCAACAATGCACTTCTTTTATTTGCTCCCCTTTGGTCTGTTAAATATACAATTAAAAGTGATTTTTTTTTATATCTGATCAAAATGTGCAAAAAAAAGTTCTGTTGATTCTGACAGAAATTCATTGCTTTCCTGTGCAATCTGCAGTCTTATCTCAAGAAATGTTAGCATCCCTTCCCAGTTCCCTCTGTGACCGACAGAACACCTTCTCTCTATGTTATAGAGATGAAGAGGGGGAGGGTTTTTTCTGTAGTCACACATCCTGTCCTAGGATTATAATACTATTCATCTTATGATACAGTACAGTGAGTGTGGGCATAGTCACCTAGGACATTAAGTGTGTTATTGGCAGGATCCCCATGTGAAAGTAAAGGAAAAAAGCATAAAATATTGCAGCCACCACATCTACATTACATACATACAACATACATACATACATACATACATAACATACAACATTATATTTTAGTCCTTAGGTTTAGATTTAATATACAGTTTGGAATCCCTTTTAGTGGATTGCTCATACATTATCCACTCCACAGTGGGTTACACTGAACACAAATCACTTTTGATTGTTCCATGGCAAGCAAATATTAAGATTTATTCTGAGACTGTAACACCATCGAGGGCAGTAGGATGTACATGAATGGTCTAACTTCACTCGAGTACCAACCTTTACCAGCAGTTCAATGCTCATTTTTATGTGAATGGAGAAGGGTGGGGAAGGAGATGAGCAGCATGAGATGAGATCATCACCCAATCCTGCCAGAAAAACAGGCAAAGTGGCCTTTTTTATTACGTCTATGGGTAACTTAAATCTTTGTTGTATTACACAGAGAAAGATACTGTCTATTGAGTCTTGCTTTTTATCTAGGAACAGTGGAAACGGGAACATGTCAAGGAGTGACCAAAATGTACCAAATATATTTCCATGTGCTGATACTTATACCACATGTGCTATGAAGTTTTCTGGTGCCCAGGAAAAACTCTTATGTCTCTTAAGTTTTTACTGGGCACCAGAAAACTATGTGCTAGTGTGTGCAAGATGGCAGCTGGAGCAGATATGTAGCTAAAGAGCTCTGCTGCCTAAACCTTGCTCACAGCAAATTATCCAAACTGCTGTATGGGTCATGACCAGGGGAAATTACACTGCTTTATCGTGCCATGCAGTCGATTATAAGAGACCCCCATGGATTGGCAGGAACACAGACGGCGGATTGCAGCAACATGGTAATACAGACTGTGGCCTTTGATACAGAATCTCTGGAACAAGCTAATTTCTTTGCAGTCATAGGTTCTACCAATGGCTGCCAGATGGTACTCACCTTACAGATTGACCATCTGCAGACAGAGATAAGCCTTCTCTGGGGAGATCTGATGCTGATTATTACTTTATTCCCCCACAGCAAACCATTCTGTAAATTTCTACTTATGTCTGCCACATTTGTACTGCACTCAGGGACTGGACAGTTGGGCTTGACCCCTCAAGGTTAGGGGAGTGTGAGGAGTGGAGCCCATACTTTGCAGTAAAACTCTATGTTCTCATATCGGAGTCTCTTGCCCCTTACTGTTCTACTAGTCTAGACTGTTGTTGTCATCTGGATTATCTCTCTTGGCACACCATGTAAAGGGGCTGACATTATCTTCAGGCTGCTGTAGGCTTTCCCCTGGAGGCATGGCCGAACCCTTCCATTGCTCACGTTAGAAAGGCCAACTGCCTCATGCAATTCCACTGCTGCATCCCGACTCGTTAGCCCATCACTAGTAAGCCCCTAGATCTATTTTTTGTGCTATGTTTATAGTAAGCCAGGAGTAGTAGCCTCAGCTCTCACTGAGTGTCTTGCATACATTCTTATACAGGGTTTTTACTTAATTTGTGTTCATTTAGTTTTTCTGCAACAAAAGGATAGTACCCTCAGCTATTGCTGAGTGCTCTGGAGTTTATTTTTTCCTTGGGAGCAACTCTACTGTACCGACTGCTGTTTGTTTTCTTCAATGCAATCTGTTCACAACACCATTTGGTTTTATGACATGTTCTGTTTGGGGATTCAGGTGTGCTTTTTTTCTCTGCACTTTTCAGCACTTCAGTATATTAATGCACATGTACATACACAGTGCTATTTCTATTTTGTTCTCTATGCTTACAGATGCACTTTCTCTGTTCAGCCTCAGTCCTAACTTCCAAAGTACATTATCTGTCCATTATCTCTCCATATCCAACATGTCCAAGTTCCAATGCCCCCCAAGCTGACCCATCTGTTTCAAAAATGGAGGGATGACACCCTGGTCTAACAGAAGACTGGGACATATTTTTTCAACAATATCTTACTTTAATGATTTTTGCCAGGTACTGTAAACACCAAAGGATTTTTGCCATTTTTCCTACTGTTGGGACGCTGTGTCATAGATGTCAATCTGAAATGGGTTCCTTCTTTCATATAGTATGGACCTGTCCATTAATCTAAATACATGTACATACAATAAATGCTACCCACCACCAAAAATTGTTCATATTCTAAGCTGCATCTTACGTGAGTGGGAAAATCTCCCTAGGTGGATGCTGTCCGCCTCACACTCCATTTAAATGTAAATGGTGGGTGAGGTGGACAGCTTCTACGTAAGAAATGCAGAAAGCTGCATGATGGGGAAAACTAATTATTAGTTGAGACCTCCCATCAAAATGCCCTTTAAATTGGTTAGTAATGTACAGTACATAAGTTGTATAAGTGCTGAACCTTAAACTGTATTTCGACTATTCATATACACTATACCTGTTTAAAAAAAAAAACTATAGTGGCCATTTTCTAATGCATATACAGCAAAGCTCAGTTTGCACATGTACCTCAGGTGTTAGTTTTTAGCAATCACTATTTTCTATCAATAGAATACAATGGGGACTGAAAATTATGAGTTTATTAACGGAGACGAAGCAGCACTTCCCTCAGGCTGGTACAGATACATGGTGGCAAAATGCCTGGTGGTCAATACAGGGTGGTAATACATACATTCAACTTCAACAAATAAGACAAACATAGGGGGCATAAAAACCTGGCTTTTTAGGTGTATTAGTGTGTTATTTATTTCTGCCAGCTCAAAATTCAGTTCCACTGTAGCAGGCTTAGGATAAAGACCACTGTGCGGTGTGAGCACAGTGATCTGACATGCCCCCCTGCCTTCTGACAAGAGCGGGTCTCCAATCAGCAGGTCTGGCTCATGGAGTAGGATAGGAGCATTGCTCAATAGATATTAGATAAATATAGATAATATAGGTTAAATTGTAGCCATTCTCTATGAGTGCGTTTCTATATACAATCCATACATTTTCACTACTTCATCTTCATTCTGTTTTTCACAGCACACACACTGCATGCACCCCAGCCTTCTTTCACCTGCTCTCTTACATTCTTTATATTCCTCACTATTCATATCTTACTAACATTAACATGTCTCTCCCCCTTATCCATCTTAAGTGTCACGAAAGATCATGTTTCCTCTTTCTCTCCACAAAGGCTTAGCTCATCATTTTCTTCCTCACTGTATCTCCATTTTCATTTACTTCTTAGTTTCTTTATATTAAGGGATAACAGTGTTTTCAGAATAGGTTTGGGGCTGCAATAGCCAGACTGTCAACTCTATTTATACTTTTCCCCCTTAGGTCAGCTATTGACCCCTCCTAATTCAGTCAACTGGCTAGCTCAAGCTTAATGTGCCTTTATTTTGCCTTCCATGGGTACTAATTTCCTCACCTGATCAACATGCTAATGATATGTTTAACCCTTTTGCTGCCAAGGCCTTTTTTAAATCTTTTGCACACATGTTATAATATTTTGGGCCTGAAAATTACTTCAAACTCCCAAACATTATATATTTTCTGAAAGCCTAGAGCCTGTAGGATAAAACGGTGTCAGTTGCAAATTTTGATGCACGATATTAGTGCATCACTTTATCAAACCCAAACTTTTAGTGAAAAATGCACTTAACCTCCCTGGCGGTAATCCCGAGCGTGACTCGGGGTTAATTTTCTCTGCCAGGAGCGGTAACCCCGAATTTAGTGCAGCAAAACACAATACAATACCATTTTTTTTGTAAAATATAAAAGATGAGGTTATGATGAGTAAATAGATATCAAAATTGCGTGCGTCCGTGAATTGGCGACAAAATTCAGTACCCCAAAGAGTCCATAGATGACACTTCAAAAGCCCCTCAGGGCATTCGTTTAGGGATACACGTAAATATCGGCACTAGCATTATTGCACTTACTCTGGCGTGTGTGGTGATACCCAACATGTATAGCGCGGTTGTCTTTTTCGTACGCAGGCGCACCCGACACATGTTTAAGTGAATGCGCGCAGGGGCGGGGGACTTTAAACATTTTTTTTTATTATTTATACATATACAATACAATATTTTTTTAACTAGTTTTTTTTTTTTTAACTTTACTTTACTTGCTATAACATAGCATATTGGCAGTGACAAGTCCTCTTTAAGGTGATGCTGGGGGTCCAAAAGACTCCTAGTATCACATTTCCACTTTAAATAAGCTATTGAAGTGCAGATCGCAATACGCGTCACTCCCGGTTCCATAGAACGGAGGGGAGATCGGTGAACGGAAGTTCACCGCTCTTGTCCCCAGCTTCCTGCCAGCACCCGGCATGCCGGTCCTGGGGCCGCAGTAGTATGGGCAGCGGAGCCTGGGAAACATGGCGGGGGGGCACTTTACCAGCCTGTGAAAGTTATCTGGTGGCAGCTGAGCCACCAGCATTGCTTACATTGTAAATCCGACATCCGGCTTTACAATTGTAAACAGAGTTCCAGCAGCTTTAGTCTGTTTAAACGGGCCCACTGCCACCGACGTAAGCCTTACATCAATGGCAGTGAAAGGGTTAAATTAAATTGTTTCCCCTATTTTCATTACATACATTGTTTTAGACCCAGTGACATGATCACTGGGTCTCTGTTATTTTATATTTATTGCAGGCCAAACATGGCTAGTGAAAGAGGCAGGCAGATTGCTGGACGTAGCTCTCTGAAAACCTCATTACACACTGTCTCAGTACTTCTCTCAAGAGCCCTCAGCGCTGATACAAGCAGTGGACTGGAGTTATGAAAATATCAAAATGCTTTGATGGGTGGATGTCAATCTGAGGGGTGGGTGTTCCTAGGCCGGCTGCATTTACATACAGAACACCCTAGGTATCTCCAACATGTGATGCTGAGACTCCATGATTGAAAGAACTAAAATCCAATTAATAAAAGGGGCATGCCAAGGACAGCAAAGCTGGAAAGTGGAGGGCTAGTTGATGCTGGACATTCCACAGCCAGGAAATGAGGTTGGCTCAATCTGACTTGCTGCAGCTTCTATTGCACACTGTGTGAAGATCATATATATTTGTTTTATTTAAGATTTTTCAACAAGAAATACAGAAGAGAATACAAAATAACAAAGCATCCAAGAGTACAATAAGATACACATTAACAGTTACATTCAAAATAATACAAAGAGATATTGCAATTTAACCAATGTTTCCCAATATAGCAACAAAATGTGCGAATGAAGTAAGATCCTAAAACAAAAACATTCGCAGTACAATTCCAGTATATCTTTTATATGGAAACATAGAGGAAAAGAAAAGTATTCTATAGAACAACTAAAAAAGAGGAAAGATAGAACGATAAGAAGAAGAAGAAAATAATGAGATATAGAAATACTGCCAATCCAGTCCGGAGGTCTCTGTGATAAAGATTACTGGATCACGACAGAGAATAGATAAATAAAATCCAACTTAAAATCAAACCTGTCAACTCAACCCTCATCTTGATATCAAAAATGCTGCATGTACAATTTTTGGTCAGCTGTGGTGCATTAAGCAGCCCAGTCAAATGAATAGGCTGCTGTAACGCAACACAGATTAATGCAAGACAGAACATGCAATAACAAACATGCATTTAATGCACTGCAGCAGATTGGGCTGGTGTGAATGGGCCCTGAATAAATACATTACTTTATCAAATTGTGTTTTCATATATAGGAAATGTGACTTATAGTGCCTGGTTTGTATAGAGTAGTGCAGAATTGATATCAATTGCAAAGTTATGTATGTAGTCAGTACTGTCAGTTGCAAGGCAGGCCCATGCTTCATGTGAGAGGCAGAAGCGAGAAATGGATGGTCTTTATCAGGCTGAGTCTTCTCCATCAATCGCCATCTCAGATGATACAGTTGTCTATGTAGAACTTGAAGGATATAGCCCATATAGGCCACACAATGCAAAATATTCCTGCTTCTGAAAAAAGGTGCTCATTTATATCAACAGTTTGGCAACAAAGAGCCAGCCCATTAGAACCCTACAATTTTTTCCTGAGAATAGTTATCCTTTAAAGTGACATTAAAGTCAAAGGTCCCCTCCCACAATGCTAATGTAAGGACTTACCTTAAATTATGTTTCTTACTCCGATCATCTTCTTCTTTCCTGTCCTTTTCAGCTGTCCCTCCAGCACCGGTGCGGGTCTCCGATCCAGCGCTGACTCCTCTGTCCTCCTCTTCTCTCATGTCCCACGGTTTCTGTACGGGTGCACGCTGCTCCATGGACTTACCTTGTGTCTCTGGTCGTCTCCTGGCCGAACATCTGAACTGCGCATGTGCCCGCCCCAAGATCCTTTGCTGCCGCCCGAGACTCTTCAGATGTTTGGATGGGAGCGCACGGCAAAGACACAGGTAAGTTTAAACCTGTTTGAAAAGGTTTATTTTATTTTTTTAAAGTTTTTGCATATATCTACTGCTTGCTAGCAGTAGATATATGCAAAAAAAGTGAAGGTTTAATAACTCTTTAAGTACTTTTTTTTACTTCCACATTTATTCTCCCATTTCCCCTCTGCTCAGTATTCTGTCTACTCTGCTTGTTCACCCAGTTGCCAAATTTTTCAAATGATCTAAAAGGACATTGAAACTCATCCTGTGCACAAGAGGGGACAGACTGAAGGAAGCACCACATGAAAATGTGTTTTGTTTATCTTTGAAGTTGGGAAATTGCAATTAGGTTGGTTGTCAATTAGCAGTATGCATCAGCTGAAAAATAGGCATTTCAGTTTGGCAATTTGTTATGTCAGTTTTCAAAGCAACATTAGGCAGCTGAGATCTAACGAGAACAAATATTTGGTGTCCAAACTACAAGAGGGAAAGTCTAAAATAAATGCAAAGTTATTGAAAGCCTCCAGGGGAACAGTCTCAAAAATAATAGCAATATATGCCAAGCATGGAGACATGGGACTGGCGAAGAGAAACTGTGGTTGCAAGTTGAAGGTCGGAGAAAGAGGAATACTTAAAGCGGTACATTAGTGCCAAAAAAGAAAATGCTAGAAGATTTTTTTTTTTAGAAGAGACTTTGCACAACAGTTATGCTTTATCATGAAAAGAATAGCTGTCAATGTGATCTCAAGTGTTTCCATTAAATGGAATCTAGCATCTCTGTGACCCATCTTTAACAAAGACTGTACATCATATGCAGAAAGGCACTTTTGTCTGCAAAAGTTGTAGTTCAACTTTTGCAGACAAATTGGGATAACACCTACTGGTACTTTATATTTGTATGTTAATGAGAGGAATCTCATTCTGTCCCTGCTTTCATTTTGAACCTGCTCAGATTAGCTTGGAAACTTGGAAAATGCACAAAGGCCAAATAAATATTTAAAAGGTAAGAAATATATTTTCTTACTGCAAAAGTAGAAATACACTTTAAAGAAGCAGAAAAGATTTTGCTCACATTTCCCATTTGCTTCATTTGCGAGATTTGCTCAGAGTTACAGTGGCCCATACAATTCCTTTTGCTATCCCATCTAACAGTACCCATTTATAGAGGTGGATGTAAAGCTCGCCATACACTAATTGATTTACTTGTTCTGGTGCTAGATTCCAAGAATTTTCAGACCAGCTCCTTGACTTTAGTCTGATTGATGGCTCAAATCAATGCAGCCGTGTTAGCAGGACTTAACTGAAATTCAAGCAATTTATGGTCATGTTAAGATTATTATTGAAACGTCTTCTGTCATAGCTTTCTATCAATCCCTTGACAATAGCTGTGAAATTGTGTACAACTTGACTTTACTTTCAGAAGTGGTATACAATTACATCATCCCTCCTTTCCTGACTGCCTGGATTTGTTTTTATTGGCCGACAGGCAGTGTGTTATGCTATCATAGCAAACTGTCAGCCAATCAAAAAAAACGCAACACGTGTACAACCGTGTACAGTCATTGACATCTATGGGAGGCTGTACGCTGCACCTGTGGTTCCCTGGTGGGAGATATACAACGGAATTTACTTTGTACCTCCACACATGAGCCCTAAGATTGTATATATACAGTATCTCACAGAAGTGAGTACACACCTCACATTTTGGTCAATATTTTTTTATATATTTTCATGTGACGACAAAGAAGAAATTACACTTTGCTACAATGTAAAGTAGTAAGTGTACAGCTTGTATATCAGTGTACATTTGCTGTCCCCTCAAAATAACTCAACACACAGCCATTAATGTCTAAACCGCTGGCAACAAAAGTGAGTACACCCCTAAGTGAAAATGTCCAAATTGGGCCCAAAGTGTCAATATTTTGTGTGGCCACCATTATTTTCCAGCACTGCCTTACCCTCTTGGGCATGGAGTTCACCAGAGCTTCACAGGTTGCCACTGGAGTCCTCTTCCACTCCTCCATGACAACATCACGGAGCTGGTGGATGTTAGAGACCTTGCGCTCCTGCACCTTCCATTTGAGGATGCCCCACAGATGCTCAATAGGGTTTAGGTCTGGAGACATGCTTGGCCAGTCCATCACCTTAACCCTCAGCTTCTTTAGCAAGGCAGTGGTCCTCTTGGAGGTGTGTTTGGGGTCATTATCATGTTGGAATACTGCCCTGCGGCCCAGTCTCCGAAGAGAGCGGAACATGCTCTGCTTTAGTATGTCATAGTACATGTTGGCATTCATGGTTCCCTCAATGAACTGTAGCTCCCAGTGCCGGCAGCAATAATGCAGACCCAGACCATGACACTCCCACCACCATGCTTGACTGTAGGCAAGACACACTTGTCTTTGTACTCCTTACCTGGTTGCCGCCACACACGCTTGACACCATCTGAACCAAATACATTTATCTTGGTCTCATCAGACCACAGGACATGGTTCCAGTAATCCATGCCCTTAGTCGGCTTGTCTTCAGCAAACTGTTTGCGGGCTTTCTTGTGCATCATCTTTAGAAGAGGCTTCCTTCTGGGACAACAGCCATGCAGACCAATTTGATGCAGTGTGCTGCGTATGGTCTGAGCACTGACAGGCTGAC